GAATTCTGTACCTGCCTTGGTATTATTTGACTCGGGTGCAAGTCGGTCTTTTGTATCTTTGGCTTTTAGTCAGCACATCAGTGTTAGTTGTGAGGCTCTGAGTCAGCCTCTAAGAGTTTCCATAGCTGAAGAGAAGGTGATATATGCCACGGAGGTGATCCGTGGGTGCGTACTCGAGATTTTCGGTGTTGAGTTCCCGATTGATTTGGTTCCTATTGCCATGGGGGATATCTGTGTCATTGTGGGCATGGACTGGTTGAGCAGGTTCGGTGCGCTTATCGACTGCGAGCGACAACTAGTGACCATACGAGACCCTAGTATGGGAGTTCTTACAGTGTACGGCGAGGGTACCCGTTCTGGATCAACGTTTTGTTCGGCCGCTAGGGTGAGGTAGTGTCTATAGCAGGGTTGTAAGAGTTTTGTGGCGTACGTGTCAGATACGCAGGTTGATTCCAAGAGGCTGAGGTCGGTGGAGGAGGTTCCTATAGTGCGTGAGTTCCCGGATGTCTTTCCAGAGGAGTTGCCGGGTGTGCCTCCCGTGAGGCAAGTAGAGTTCGGTATCGATTTGGTCCCGAGGGCCGCACCTATCGCTAAGGTGCCTTATCGTCTTGCACCTCCAGAGATGCAAGAATTATCCTCGCAGCTTCAGGAGCTGCTGGGGAAATGGTTTATTCGGCCGAGCAGCTCGTCGTGGGGAGCGCCTATTCTGTTTGTCAAGAAGAATGATGGTTCACACCGGATGTGCATTTATTACCGGGGGTTGAACAAGCTGACGGTCAAGAACCGTCACCCGTTGCCGAGGATCGACGATTTGTTCGACCCGTTGCAGGGAGCATCTTGGTTCTCCAAGATCGATTTGAGGTCTGGCTACCATTAGGTGAGGGTGCGAGATGAGGACATCCAGAAGACAGCGTTTAGGATGCGTTATGGGCATTATGCGTTATCGGTCGGTGATTGTATTCATTGATGACATTTTGGTATATTCGAGATCTAGAGAGAAGCATGAGGAGCATTTGAGGGAGATCCTCGGAGTTCTGAGATCGGAGAGGCTTTATGCCAAATTCTCCAAGTGTGATTTCTGGTTGCGAGAGGTCCAGTTCCTAGGACATCTTGTTAACCAGGGAGGGATATTGGTCAACCCGGCCAAAGTTGAGGCGGTGATGAGTTGGGAGGTGCCGAGGTCACCCTCCGAGATCAGGAGTTTTCTAGGGTTGGCCGGTTATTATCGGAGATTTATCAAGGATTTCTCTAAGATCGCAGTGCCACTCACTAGGTTGACTCGGAAGGGTGTTACTTTTTCATCGGGCCCCGAGCAGCAGGCCTCCTTTGAGACGCTTTGCCAAAGGTTATGCGAGGCCCCAATGTTAGACCTCCCAGAGGGAATGGAGGACTTTGTTGTATACTATGATGCATCGATCTTGGGGTTGAGAGCGGTGCTGATGCAGAGAGGGCATGTGATAGCATATGCATCGAGGCAGTTGAAGCCTCATGAGACGAGGTATCCCACCCGTGACCTAGAGTTGGGGGCAGTGGTGTTCGCCCTCAAGATTTGGCATCACTATCTGTATGGGGTTCGGTGTACGATATACACGGACCATATGAGCCTGAAATATTTGATGGATCAGCCCAACCTAAATATGCAGCAGAGGAGGTGGTTGGATGTGGTTAAGGATTATGATTGTGAGATCCTGTACCATCCGGGCAAGGGTAATGTGGTAGCCAACGCCCTGAGTCGCAGGGCGGAGAACGCCCCGTTGCGAGATGTATGTTTGCGATTAACTATCATGACTCCGGTGTTGGACACCATTCGAGGAGCACAGGCTGAGGTAGTGAGGTCGGAGAACCAGAAGAGAGAGCGAGTTGTTGGGTTGGTATCGAAGTTCGTTACCGATGGTCGGGGGGCTTATGACTTTTCAAGGGCGTATTTGGGTACCGTTTGTGGGAGGAACGCGTACCATTTTGATGGAAGAGGCTCATCGGTCGAAATTCTTGATCCATCCTGGGGCCACTAAGATGTATTTGGACATGAGGAGGGAGTATTGGTGGCCCTGTATGAAGAGGGATATTGCGTGGTTTGTTGAGAGGTGCTTAACCTGCCGTAGGGTTAAGGCCGAACACCAGAGACCGCATGGTAAGTTGCAGCCGTTGGAGGTTCCTGAATGTAAGTGGGAACAGACCACCATGGATTTCATCACCAAATTGCCAAGGACTGCTCGGGGAGTTGATGCAATTTGGGTGATTGTGGACAGGTTGACGAAGAGCGCTCACTTCCTTGCTATCAGCGAGAGTTCTTCCGCAGAGAAGTTAGCAGAGATGTATGTGAGGGAAGTGGTATCTCGGCATGGGGTTCCGATCTCGATTGTTTCAGACCGGGATGTATATTTCACTTCCAGATTCTAGAAGATGTTTCATGAGGAGCTGGGTACTAGGCTGCATTTTAGTACCGCATATCACCCCCAGACAGACGGACAAAGTGAGCGGACGATTCAGACGCTCGAGGACATGCTTCGAGCATGTGTATTGGATTTCGGGGGAAGTTAGGATACGTATTTGCCCTTGGCCGAGTTTTCTTACAACAACAACCATCATTCGAGCATCGGAATGCCACCCTTTGAGTTGTTGTATGGGAGGAGGTGTCGAACCCCCATTTGTTGGGGAGAAGTTGGACAACGCGTTATGGGCAACACTGAGATCGTACTTCAGACGATAGAGCAGATCCAGCAGGTCAGACAAAGGTTACTGACTGCTCAGAGTCAACAGAAGAGTTATGCGGACAGACGCCGGTCCGAGCTTGAGTTCCAGATCGGCGACTTTGTGCTCCTGAAGGTCTCTCCTTGGAAAGGAGTGATTCGATTCAGGAAGAGGGGCAAATTGGGACCCCGATATATCGGACCATTTCTGGTAGTCGCGAGGGTAGGCAGGGTAGCCTATCATTTGGATTTGCCAGTACAGTTGGGGCAAATTCACGACACTTTCCATATGTCGTAATTGTGGAAGTGTATAGCCGATGAGTCGGCAGTGGTTCCATTAGAGGATATTCAGGTGGATGCGAGCCTGAATTATGCTGAGAGACCAGTGGCAATCAAAGATCGGAAAATCAAAGTTCTGAGAAACAAGGAGGTACCTTTAGTTTTGGTTCAATGGCAACATCGGAAAGGGTCCGAGATGACTTGGGAACCGGAGCGTGAGATGCGCGAGCAGCATCCGGAGTTATTTGCAGAGCGAGACTTCGAGGGCGAAGTCTAGTTCTAGTGGGGAGAATTGTAACAGCCCGGAATTTCCAGGTATTTATTATTGGTGTATTTTTGGAGAATTGTGAGTGGACTCGGCGAGTTGGAGCTCAAACTCGCCGAGTAGGATCGCGATTTTGGATGTGGGTTCGCGTCTGGACTCGGCGAGTCCAAGAGTGGACTCGGCGAGTCCATGTTGTTTAATGAAACCCTAATTTCCAGGGTTTAAGACCTATTTAAAGGGGCTTATGGCCGTCATTTGCTGCCACCAACCCCTATAAAGAAACCCTAAAGAGATTTGAGCATTTTGGGAGATAAAAGATGCCATTATTGACCTTTGGAGCTTGGTTTGGCAAGGCAAAGGAGATTCTAGCTACGAGAAGGCAAGGGAAGTGGATATTCTGTGATTTTGGAGCTCAGAGCATCATCTTGGAGGTATATCTTGGCTTCCTTTTTCGTTTTTATGATGAACATGGGGAATTAGGGTTTCTTGACCCCTTTGTTGGTTACATTTGATGTCCATTTCGTCCCTATTCATGATAGGGCTTGGGATGAGATCCATAGAGGTCCAGAAGAGTTGTATTCCTTAAGCTTTATGAGGGTTCATGAGAGTATTGGCCTAGAGTTATGAGATATGGGGCTAAAACATCATTTATGAGCAAATAGTTGTTGTTTGAGCCCTAAGGTTTGGACTTTACATGATTATCATGCTTGGGGAGGCTAGATCTATGAATATATGGAACAGATCTGACCTCAGGAGTGAGTTTGAATTGATGCATGGCATGGACTCGCCGAGTCTGAAGAACAGACTCGGCGAGTAGCATGAAGATTGCCCAACACCACTCAGCGAGTGGTCTTGCCGAGTTAAGGGATTGACTCAGTGAGTCAGGGAGAGTCAGAGTGGGTTGATAGGTGGACTGAGTCAAGTTGGAACTCGCCGAGTTGTTCTTGAGACTCGGCGAGTTGAGTCGTGGAGGCCCCACAACTCATCCTAGGTGGAACTCGTCAAGTTAGGAGAATACTCGTCGTGTGAAGTGAGGATCCCAGGGAAATCAGTGTATGCTTATAGACTCGTCGAGTCGCTATAGTGCACTCGCCGAGTCCGGTCAAAGTTGGTCGTTGACCTATGTTGACTAGTTAAGGGATAGTTAACCTTAGTTGTGAAGTGTTATTTAGACACGTATTGTGTTATAGGAGGACTATAGATCGGGAGATCGAGCACGAGTGATTTCATGGACTTGCGAGTTACCGAGATACGCGAGGTGAGTCTTCTCACTATACTTTACCTTGAGTAGGTAACTAGAGTTATGTGATACAGTGTTTGTATGTTATATATGTGTTATGTGTTGCGCTGCATTATTCTATGTGATTTATGCTGTGCATGTTTACAGAGTTAGAACCTGAGGGTTCACAGAGTTTGGGTGCACGGACCCACAGAGTTATAGCCTCGAGTGGCTAATATGTGTTATATGTGGTATTTTGGGGAACTCACTAAACTTTGTGCTTACATTGTTTGATGTTATTTGTTTCAGGTACTAGTGACGACCGTGGGAAGGTGCCGGCTTGATCAGTACACACGCATGGGATTTATGATTTTGAGATCTTGGGATTTTTGTATTACTTGGATTGAATTTCAAATATGGTTGTTTTATGAATATTAAGTGAATTATGTTTTATAAAAATTGAAATTTTTGTTTTGAAATTTACGGTGTTACATTAAAAATGAAAATTTTGCTTAAAAAATTCCATCGTTACACGATTCTTAAATCAATGGGTTTCTCTGGATCAATTTTTAAATTAAAGGGTTTCTTTGAGTTGATGAGCCTGATGAAAAACCTTGTTGCAGGAAAACCTTGTCTTGATTTGGAAGAAAAAGGGGTTGTTAACAAAATCGAAGTAGGTGATGGTTGTGTTTTTGATCATCTAGCACCAATTCGTGACTTATCTTTCTCTGGAATCTCTTTATTCGGTGCATTTCAAGCATTTTGTTTTGAAGTTATACAGGTTTCAAGCGTTGAGTTTATAAATCCAGTTGAAGAATAAGAAGAAGAGGGATTTCTATGGCTTGATTCTGGTTTTTGTTCATCAACAAGGGATGTTTGGAGAATACGATGTCTAGAAGAATGAGTTGTGTGTGATATATATATATATATATATATATATATATATATATATATATATATATATATATATATATATATATATATATATATATATATATATATATATATAGAGAGAGAGAGAGAGAGAGAGAGTGGAACGGGGTACGATGAGTTTTTTCTTATTTTTTAATTATCAAAATATTAAAATAAAAACAAAAATATTTAATAAAATGTAAAATATTAAATTATATGGTATAATAGTCATTTCAAATTTAAAATGAATTATATCGGAAATAAAAATTTGATTTTGAACTAACGGTATAAATTAAAATCTTTTTGGACAAATTTGTAGTTTAGTCTTTATCTAAATTACATACTTGACATATCTTTAATGTTTATACCTTGTAGATTAACATAGTGTGGTATTTTTTAGGTTACTCGTGCTTGGGTTTGTTTATAGAAAAATGAGAGATTTCGTTAGATATAAAATTTAAAAATATCTGATTTTTATTCCATTTAATATATAGTAATAAAATAATGTATGAACTGTGAAGTGTTGTTTAATAAATATGAAGGGACAGTTTACCTCTCAATTTGGACAAATGGAATAAATATGGGGAAGTACCTATTTAAAGAAATGGACCACCAAAATCGTTGGAAAATGATTGAAAAGGTCTGGCTTAATTAGTTTGGATAAGGGTCAACAAAAGCCAATTATTCCTCATTTTTTATGTTTTTGACACCTTTCGCATTATTGTAAATAAAGTACAACCGAAGGGACCTATATGTAAATATGGTGTAAAGGTGACCACAGATATGAGATCGCTCAGCAGATTCTCACTTGCAGCTTTCTTTACGACAAGATAGAGCTTCCTCATTTTTACCACTTGAAAAATGCATTCATTAACTTAAAATAAACATAATTATATGTACTATTAATTATAAAAAAATATAGTGAACAGAACTTTTGCCAATTCTCATTTTTACCATATTTTTTCATTCATTTACTATTTTGGCCACAGTTGCTATACTCTTTACTTCTTTTTACTTTGCCATCACTTTTATATAAAAGTTTTTTTTTTTTTTTTTTTAGACCGCCTTCAAAATTTAGTGATCATTATCTTCTATAGCGCCTTAACAACTTCACCCTTGCTTATGGTAAGGACTGTGAAGAATCAGATGCAAGAACCCTTCTCGAACCT